AGAGCCCAAATAAGCCCTTCCTTGCTCTCTGAAGCCACTTTCCTCTGAGATTTTGTCCCAACAATGAGAAAAATAGCTGGTATGCCCTGTATGCCACTTAGACAAACTCCTGACTCACACAAAGAATTCAGTGCATTCCTGGTCTTTTCTCTAAGCTTTCAGGAACCAGGAGAAATAGGGAAGCCACCACAAGGGTCAAGAGCAGAGAAAGTGACAAATGTTCTTTCTTTTTGTCTTATTTTATTTTTGAGGTAGGGTCTTCCTCAGGTAGCCCTGGATGACCTGGGTGAACTAGGACTTTCAACAGTCCTGCTTCTGCATCCCAAGTGTTGGGATTACAGAGGGTACTACATGCCCAACAAGACAAACACTCTTTCTAAAATATTTAACTGTAAGCAGAGACTGCACATTGGTTTCCCAGGTGCCCAGACCCAGAAACTTTATTCATTACACCACTGTTTGGCTGATGGCTCAGGCATATTTCTAGCTAGTTATTACATCTTAAATTAACCTATCTCCATTACTCTATATATCACCACGAGGCTGTGGCCTACCAGTAAGTTTCTGGTGTCTTTCTCCTTCAACAGCTACATGGTGTCTGCCTGACTCTACCTTTTTTCTCCCAGCATTCAGTTTAGTTTTCCCACCCAGCTTTATTCTGCCCTGCCACAGGCCAAAACAGCTTCTTTATTAACCAATGGTAATAAAACATATTCATAGCATACAGAGGGGAATTCTACATCATATAACTGCTACAGATTTCCACTTTCAGATCTCAGTCTTAGTATCTGTGAACTTGATGTTTACTCTTGCATTTAGAGACGAAAGCCAGCTTTTGCAAAGCTGACCTGTTCATACCTCTCATTTCATTTTAAGCCCACAGTCATCCTGGGAGCGAGTTCTACCTCCATGTTGTGGACAAAGTGACAAAGGCATGGAAAGGTTAACTGGCTCATCAAGGGCATAGAATGTGAAAGAGTTTGAGACCGTGGATCTCCCAGGCTGGGGCCATCTACGCGTCAGGATGTTTACCCCAAGTGAGTCAGCCTCTCTGCACTCTGTCTACTCAGCCAGCTCCCATAGCCCAGGCCAGTGAGTCAATCCCATCAGGTGGCCACGGACAGCCTTCTCATTTTCCTTCCCAGGTACCCAAGGATTTGAGCAGATGCCTTCAGACACCACACAGTAAATCAACTGCCACATTAATTCTGGGCCATTGGCATTCTACTTCAGGAGAAAATCAGAAGCAGGGAGACTGATGTCTCATTGGTATTTCCATTGCCAGAGGAGAAGGGAGACGAGTATAATCTGTCACGGTGGAGAGGGCTGATTTGAGAACAGTGTAGATCACTTTAAGGAGAGTTTTTCATTCTCTGGACAAGGGGATATGGAATAAATCAATCCTCTCAGTGCTGTGTTATCTCGGTTTGTATACTCACACTGTGAACACAGAACAAAGTCTTCCATGGTTGCGTTTCTCAGCAAGGCTTCCTTTGTTGAGCATATGCCTGGCTGTTCCAATAGCACAGTGCAGCCTTTTTTATGAGCTGGGGAAAGTCTTGATCAGAGATGTATAGCAAGTTCTCTGACTCTTTCTCCACTTGTTTGATCCAGCATCCTTTCCTTCCATCCTTCCCTTCCTCTCACCCTCCTTCCTCCCTTCTTTCCAGCCTTCTCTCTCTCTCTCTCTCTCTCTCTCTGTGTGTGTGTGTGTGTGTGTGTGTGTGTATTGTCTCAGTTTTCTGAGTGTGGGGACTACAGGAAGGAGCCACTATGCCTGCCTGACATTGGTTTTTTTAAATGTATATACACATGCAGATAGAAGAAAAACTACTCTGTTGCACTAAAGGAATAACTAATATTTGTTAAGTGTTGGTTATTGCCAAGCACTGAACATGCACACACACACGAAGATGCTATTGCACGTGTGTAGAGATCAGAAGACAACCCACAGTGATCAGTTTACTCCTTCCATCCTGTGAGGCTCGGGAAATGAACATAGGTTGTCAGTCTTGGTGGCAAAGGTCTTTATCTGTTGATCCGTTTTGCCATCACTGATATGGGCCCTTCTTAAATTTTGTTTGTGTCATTGTTTCAGTGAAGCGGGTCCTTCGCAGCTCGTGGTACTCACTCTTGTTCTAAGATGCCCTGGGAGATGCTTGATGAGTGAGTTATTCCTATTGACTCTTTCACCTTTGTTGTCCTAAGTCATTTTTAATTTTGTCATAATAAGGCTTCTTACCGGCCATATTCAGAGTTCTGTCTATTTGGGGACCATGATGGACAACATGAGGTGGGATTGAATCAAGCAAGAGAGGCAGTGATGTGCTCAAAAGTGAGGTGGAAACCAGATGCACGAGGCTGCATAGGCAGGACAGGAGATCCCCCCGCACCACATGATATGTTTATAAGTAAATGGAGCACATGCCAAGTTAATAAGAGGAAGATGGTGCAGTCTATACGCAAGTTAGCAGCACTCTCGTTCACCACCTTCACCAAATAATAAGTACTGTACAAAACTATAGCTGTTTTTATGGTTGGCAACACAGCAGGCTGTTTTCACCAGCATCACCACAGGCACAAGCATGCTATACTAAAATGTTAAGGTGACCGGTGTCACTGGCTGATAGGAAATTTTCAGCAGCTGGTTGCCCATGGTCAGCTAGTGGAGGGTAAGATCCAACATAGATGGTAGACCGCAAGCCCGCCACCCCACACACAGGAGGCGCTAACAGTGCATCTCCCAAAGTTAAGAGCCTTGTGCCTTCTTTCCACCCCACAGATTTGTCCTTGACCGGTTCTAGCCAGCCTCAGTCAGATCATGGAGGGGATACCCTGTTTTAGCTTCAAGGCTGAGCCACGGGTGAGGCTCCTGGTCAGGGGTCTGGACAGCTAAAGCTCCAGTAGCAGTGGGTAAGCCACAGGCCAAGGGTTTCGGCAGCTTTTAGGGCTTAGTGAGTTGAGCTTCCTCCTGGATGTTCCTGTAATGGTTTTCTAGGGAAAGAGAAGAGACCCATGGGCCACGGGAAACTGATCATCTAACATATCCAGCCCCAGCGCGTGTCTGACCACAGTGACCTCTGAGAACCTCTGGAGATGCCATGACTATGGGATATAAAGCTCAGGGGACTACAATGTTGTGAATTCAAAAAACCTAAGCAATATGCATACCCACGATTCCATGCCAACTTTGGGGAGAAAGAGCCTCCAGAGGAAAGAGCCCAGTTCACCGCTGGACTACAGGTCTCCTCGTTTCCTAATGAATATCACTTTGGATCTGACAGAGATGGCTGCTCTGTCTCATGCTTGTTTGCTGCTTACTCTGTGATTGATGTTGGTAACATTTAGAGTCTGTCAGGAAATATTTCACAGATGCTCCGTGTGGTGGGTAGAAACAGCCAGGAAATGTGACTCCTAGCTGAAGCTGAATGGTAGTCGGAGGGAGCTGTGATGGACAGGCCTAGGCCTTCTAAGCTTGTGGGGTAGGGCAAGTGTGCCCTGGGAGCGGGGTGAGGGGCTGGCAGTCCCGCAGAGAGGGAGCCATGGGGCTCTTTCCTGGGCTTTCTCATGAAGATGGACTCATCTGTGCTGGCTGTTAGCGCCCACTGGGTAAGGAGATAGAGGATGGAAAATTTGTTTCCTGCTGTTCCCAGCTTCTGAAATACGTGTCCTGTTTTTCCCTCTGGGAGCCTATGAATTCACAAGGTTGATCTCAGAAGAGACAAACTTTGTAAACCTCCAATAAGAAGTGACCCTCACCCTAATTCCCACAACACTGGACTTCACTGATAAAGCACAGGGTTTGAGAGTTGGTTTTGGTTTTCTAAAGCGTGGTTCTCCTACAAACATAAAAAGGACCTGCCAAGCGCTGGAGAGATGGCTCAGTGGTTAAGAGCATACCCTGCTCTTCCAAAGGTCCTGAGTTCAATTCCCGGCAACCACATGGTGGCTCACAACCATCTGTAATGAGGTCTGGTGCCCTCTTCTGGCCTGCAGACATACACACAGACAGAATATTGTATACAATTGGAGGTCCTTTTTAAAATATATACATTTAACCGCTGAGCCATCTCTCCAGCCCTGGGGGCATTTTTTAAATCAAGATTTCCTCTTCCAGAATGACCCTAGCTTGTGTCAAGTTGACAGAATGCTAATCAGAGCAATAACTGAATAACAGCAGAAGCACTCCAGGTGTCTCACAGTGGATGATTGAAAAAAGCAAAATTGAAGAATAGCGTACAGTGGAGTGTATCTTAGCTTTTAAAATGGAAGGAAATTCTCACATTATACTTCAACATGGAAGAATATTGGTCTATGTTTGATAAACTAGTAATAGAGAACAAATACCCACTAGATCCCCTTAATATGAGGTAGCTAGAGTTGTCAGTAGCCAGATTCTTTGAGACAGAATGCCAAAGGGATGGAATGGGAACCAGTTATTCAGTGGATGGCATTTCAGTTTTGCAAGAGGAAAGCGCTCCACGAGGATTGGTGGTTATGGTTGCATGACCGTAAATGCCCTTTATGCCACCGACCCGCATGCCGAAAAGTAGCTTCAGTGGGAACTTCTGTGTTATGTGTATTTTAGCACAATTAAAAATTTAAAAAGTGAAACAAAACTGAAGAATAAAAAATGATACCGTCTGGGATGTTATCTGCTCTGCCATCTAGTCACAGGATACTTTACATTTTTGCTGGACAAGATCTACAAGGTAGCATGCAGCTTCCCAAGGAGGAGGCTTTGTGGCCTCCCGTGGAGACGCAGTCCCTGAGGTCATTAGGCAGCCCTTGGGTAGGCTTGTGAAGCAATGCCCCGGATGAGGTTGGCAGCACACGCGGTTCTCCCACGGCCTCGTTGCCAAGGCTTGGATTATTAGCATTATTTTTTAACATCACAGCCATTTATGCTCCGTTTTCCCCACTAGTCTCCTGAGGCTGGGAGCTGCGTGTTCTGTTCTTCTTTGTCTCTTCAACTCCTAACATGTTTGTTAAATAGAAGACGAAGCAGCAGGGCTGTGAGCCAGGGCCTGCAGGTTTCTGTTCCCATTGTTTGCATGACCTTGACCGGTCCTGTGAGTGCCCAGTGTCCCATTTGTGTCTGTGTCAAATGACAAGCTTGCACCAAGTCCCCAGGCTCTGGAGTCCGAGGTCAATCTCTGTGCTTATGCTCTGGTTTGGTTTAACCATCCGCACAAACAGGGCATTACCAATGCAAACATGCAAACCAAGCGTGATAAATAGACGGGGAGCCTGTCTGAGACCCACATGACACCAAGAGGTATTTTTTTCTAGCTTTTCTAGATACTGCTTGAAGCCTGAGTCTGGCTCCTGGGCTGGCGCAGGGCGGTGTAGGGGTGAGGCTGCACATTTCTGTTGTATTGCTAGCCAAGGAACAGCTGTTTGGTGGTGGCGGGAAGTCTTTTCCCAGAAGCCTGGGGGCCCTGGGTCAGCAGGCCCCAGATGGCAAGGAGTGAGCGTCCGAGTCTGTCCTTGAGAAAGCAAATTGCCGTCTTATTACAAATACATGAACCTCTTACTGCTGTTTTCAATTAATTTCTTGACAAATTCTGCCTGTTCTTGCTTTTCTTAAGGACAGGAGGAGTCTGGGTGACACAGTTGGGAGCTCCAGGGAGCTCTTATTGAAATTAATTTGAGTGCTTTGGAGCGAGATTTACACGGCAAAGTGGAGCCGGCTGGAACTGCTCCTCTGGCAGGCGCCTCTGGGTCCCTGCAGATATTGCCACCTCTTTTCCTATGCAGTGCAGTGTCCTTACAGGCCTTTGGAGCCATGTGCTGCTGTGTCCCTGCATGTGCCCCTGCTGCACGTCTTTTACCCTGGTGCCTTGACAGGCTAGCTACTTCACTTGAACATGGGTCTCACTGGTCTACAGGCATCTCCACCTACTCACTTCTCTCTGCACAGCTTGGAGCCTCCCCCCCCCCCCGTCCCCCGCCCCGCTCCACTCAAAAGCATTCACAGGGGCCTCAGAACAAGTCTTCTGTCTGCCTGTGGAGACAAATTCCAGATTCCTGTGTGTCAGCTTACATTAGTCATAGCCACAGAAGGACCTGGTGTCTTTCTGCTGGACTGGCTTTTGTTTTCTGTTCCCCAGGCTGTCCTAATGGTGAGGGAGTGTCACCCAACTCCAGTCACTGGTTCCTTGGGAATGGTTTCATTCCTCTCTAGACCTTCAGTCTCTACAGAGGAAGCCAAGAATCTCTTCTCAGCACTGTCTACCTTTGATTGGCTGCTGAGAACCTCTGCACTGGAAACTGGTCTGGCCTTTTGTTTTAAGCATGCAGTACTTAAGTGATCTAAGGGAAGATTAAATTAAAGGCCTGGAAGAGTGAAATAATGCGTCTAAGAACGTCAGCCAATAAAGACCCAAAACATGAGACTCGGCGTTCAGTTCTAAATGACTTACTACTCACGTTCTGTTTTGCATTTCATTTCCCCTCCCTTTTATAATTATTTAAAATAAGATTTAACTGGTTTTGATGTGCTCAAACAGAAAATTGAGACAATCCAAACGACCCAGACATGGGAGTTTTCACCATGTTGAAATAGAAGATCAACATTTTCCTTCCTAGCTGTTTTCCCCTCTGTTCAGAGCTGTGCATGCATGCACACACAGGCAAAATGCAGCAGCCACATAGGGTGTTTCCATGCTTAAAACCACCACCAGGGCCACATCTATGAATGCTGAAAAGCAGGTTTCGCCCAACTTTCCCTCCTATGTCTAGTCCCAGACCTGGCTTGTTAAACCTGAGAATTGTGAGGAGAAAAGACCAAATCCATGATTGTATTTTGGGGTGCACCCGGGACTGGCCTGTAGTCTGTCTCACCCTAAGTTGGGTTAGAGAGAGCAACCCCTACTGGTCTCTTGAGGTCCTTTTTATAAGAGAGTTAGGGTGTTCAAGTGGGGAGTTGGCTGATCTACATTGCTAGACAAACATAACGAAGGAACTATGTATGCATCATGAGATTGAGGACACAAGTTTAGTGTAGACTGAGAAACACAGTTTGCAGTTTACATCAGGTCTGATAAACAGGTACTTATTCTTAATTGTCTTAACTACAAACCTTAGCCTGCAAGGCATGTTTCTCCTGTTTTAGTTGTCCATTAACCTGCAAGGTGTGTTGTTCCTGTTGTGGCCTCTCAGTGTCCCCAAAGGCACTGTCATTCTCTCAGTAGTTCTAATTTTCCATGATCCTTCTGAGTGCATTTAGTGTGGATTTGTTATCATGTTCAAGGTTTGTCAGCGAGAACAAGAAAAATGGATCCACACCGTGAGTGCTCTTGCTGGAAGGATACTCCAACCAGACTATGCCTTCAGGTCATGTGCACAGTAGATTCAGAACTGGTAAGGTGTGCACATCCCTGTCAGGATGGTTGGCTCTACTCCAGTTCCATTTCTGGAGGGAATCTGCTAGTGACCTCTGAGAAAAAAATTCTCAAATGTGCACTTCTGTGGGCATGATGGGGACCATTGACCTTGATCTGAAGCCACTAGATCTTATTTTTCTCAGTGCTGAAAAGAACCACACTGAGAGAGTAATTATCAGCCTAGGAAAGGATCAAGACTAACTCAACATTGGGGGAAATCAACATTGGGGGAGTCATGTTGGCTACTGTGTCTAGGTCATATGACCTCTGTCCAAGATGGCTAGAATGTGGTGATGTTTCTAGAAGAAACTTGTATTCAAAGAGATGGAATCACCAGTCAGCCTTTTAAAAAGTTCTTTTAAAAAAAAATATTACTGTTAATCTTCCCTCCCCTGCCCCCCCCCCTGTCATATGTGTGACTGCAGGCATGCATGCACCATGGCACGTGTGTGGAGGTCAGGGAACAGGCCTTAGGGAATCAGTTCTTACCTTCCACCGTGCTGAGACCGGGTCTCTCCCGTTGCATCTTCCACAGAACTGTGTACGCCAGGCCAGCTGGCCATTAGCTCTCAGGCAGTTCTCCGCCTCCACCTCCCATCTCACCCTTGCGCAGGCCAGGCGTGCTGGGATCGCAGGTGTGAGCCTCTGCAGCTAGGCTTCTTTTTCTCCTCAGAGTCAGACTACCAAGCACTTTTACCTTCTGAGTCATCTTGCTGTCCCCGAATCAACTCTTTTCCAGGGCCGACCTTGGCTCTTTATCAAAAGCCTTTTCTTAAAAAGTTGATTTTGTTATTTCGGTTTGTTTTGCAGCATGTCAGTTCCTTTGAGGGTCTCGCCATGAAGCTCTGGCTGGCTTGCAATTCACGGGGATCTTACCTGCCTCTGATTCCTGAGCACTGGTGTTTAAAGCAAGCATAGTAGGGCCCTGCTATATAGCCCAGGTTGTACTTAAACTCTCTACCTGCCGTGGTGCTCCAAGTGCTGGGATCACAGTGCGCACCGCCATGCTCAGGCAGAAGTTGCTTTATTTTGTAAACCATTCGGGATGGAAGAGGAAAGCATTGAGAATCTAATCCTTACACCATCAGTCCACAGGCAGCTCCCAAAGGAAGATGTGTGATTCCAGCAGGGGAACCTGAACTTGGGGGTGAACTGCACTCTTGAATTGATTTCTGTGTTCATAGACGAAAACATAACCTTGGGGGCTCTCCTAGGAGTTGAAATTCCTTTGCTTCTGAACCTATAGTTTTTTTTTAATTTAATTTTAAAAGGACAAATGGATAGTTTCTTTGTAGATTCCCTTGGTTAGGAAATACACTCATGGATGCTTCCGTTTTCACACTGCCTCAGGCAGACACCAACGGTTAACACTGGCACCTTCCCACCGAGCCTAGAGGTGGCTTCAGACTCGGTCTCCAAGCTCTTGTTGTTGTGAAGAAGTCAGCCCTGCCCTCAGGATCGAAGCTCTTGGCTATTTCTGACCTAATTTCTATCCCAGGATAAACTGTGCATTAAGTTCTTGTTGAATAAAATTCCCAGAAGACTTCACGTTTGCTCACTTGTTTTCTCATAGAACGGGCAGGAACAGATGGAGGACGCTGTGTTTAAATAGAAGCAAGAATTCTTTTCCTTGCCTTGTTGTTTTCAGATTTAAGTCAAGATGGGGATCTTCTGGCATTGCCACAGACGTCATCCTTCCTGGTCTGAGAGTCTTTCTTCCTCTACACTGGGCAGCTCAGCATCGGAGCTGGTCGCCTTCTCCTTCGGGGACACCAAGTGACAGGTTCCTGTCACTGCTACTATGTGTGTAGCTCAGGTCTTCAGGCCACACAGGGAATGCAGACTGTATGGAAGCCCTTCACACCCTGAATCTCACCTCTTAAAGAAACACACGTTCAACTGCCAAATTTTGTTTGGGGAGAAAAAGAAGGCAGTTGCAAATGTCTTGTCGAGGAAGGTTTCTAATCTGTCACCAAGGGAATTGTTCTTAATTGCTTTTATTTATTTCAGTGCAACTTCTCAAATGTATGAAAGGTCATGTAAGTTTGCATTAGACAATAATGCCATAGCAGTAGTCCATGCACTCTCTATGCAGTTTAAGAAATTGAACGATTATTCTTTAATGAGAAGTGGTGAGCTCCTGAACTGGGCCAGCTCCTGTCTCCCGGGGGGACTCTGCAGGGGCGTGTGGCTGACTAATTGTAGTGGGATATTGGCTTGCGCAGATTTATCATCAGTCTAAAGGGTTGGATTTCAGCAGTCCCTGGGCAGCTTTGTTTATTGCTGCATTCAATCAACACTGAATGGAGGCAATGTCTTCTCCAGGGTAAGACCCTGGCATGGAGTTCGGATGGGCGGTAAACAGGATCTGTCTGCCTTGATACGCCATCTGCATCATACAGGGATCATCTTGGGCTTAACCCCCACCCCCACCCCCGAGTGTTTGTGTGGCTCAGCCAGGGTGATCTGGAAGCTCTCTGAGGTGCCTTCCCAGGGTCTAGCAAGTGACCACTGCTTCCTCAGGGCAGCTCTCTTACCTCAACCTCCAGGCGATCTTTCGGATTTATGGTTGCTGAGCCTGGGAACTGGCTGTGGCAGGCCTTGCTATGTCTCTTAGCTTTCCCGTGTGGTCAGATCTTTGAGGAGGAGGTAAGCCGGCTGTATGATGTGTAGGGGAGGAGGGGCTGGGTTCCCTAATCTTCAGGGGTTTGGTTTGTCAAGGAGGGACTTGTGCCCTCACTGAGAGCCTGAACTATGACCTGGCTTAGTGGAGCCCGGGAAGAAATTCTGTCACAATTGCTATGATAACACTACCCAACTACCACACACAGAATAACCTTACCAGTGCTTAATTCCGAAGCCATTTCACCCTGCTCTTCTCAAACAGCCCCTTAGAGCCTGTGGCCAGCAGCTAGAATTTCAAGGCCAGGCACGTAAGACCTCCAGAAACTCCTGTAGGCTCATATCTGTCTCTAACTTTGTCTGACTGCTCCCTGAATTAAAGTTTTTCCCTAAACACTAGGTTTATCAGTGTATTTCTCCTCCTTCCCTCACTCCCAAGCAAGTCTTGGCTAATTACCAGGCCCCACCCGACTATACCACACACTTAGAGAAGTTTGTATTAGATAGACAACATTGAGAAGGGACCCTGTGCTCTTGTGTACAAAGGCTGAATAGACTTTTATCTCTATCATGGGTTGACTGTGCTGAGCTGGTTGCAAGAACAGCAGGCAAAAATCCTATTTTTTTTTCCTTCTGCCCAAGACACTCAAAAGCTGCAGCAGCGAGAAGGGCAGCTGGAAATGATTCGTGCCAGGGCTCCCAGGGCTCCCCCAGGGCTCCCAGGGCTCCCCCTGCTCCTGGGGCAGGAAGCACACTTTTGGCTTGCTTAGCAGCGAATGTGACCGAAGAGCTCTAGAGAGACTCCTAAGAGCAGAGGCTCCGAAAGATGGCAAAGTGCAGATGGCAGAGAGCTGAGACTCATCAGGCAAGAGGCCCCTGAAGAACTGAGTCGGCAGAAAGCAAGAGATTGCAAAAGCCAAGTGGGAGAACTAGACGGCAGCCACTGGAAGAGTTAGTTCCAGAGTCTTTGATGTCTAAGAGCTGAGGGCGCCAGTACCTGAAGCGGAGGGCTCTCAAAGTCTAGAATAAAAAGCCTCTAACTTGAGCACCTACAGCTACAAGTCTCTGGCCTTAAAGTCCAGAGTCATCAGCTTCTGACTTTGAGACATTAGAGCTATAAATAGCTGGCTTTAAAAGTCTAGAGTCGCAAGCCAGACAGTGGTGGCGCACGCCTTTAAACCCAGCACTTGGGAGACAGAGGCAGGAGGATCTCTGAGTTTGAGGCCAGCCTGGTTTACAGAGCGAGTTCCAGGACAGCCAGGACTGTTGCATAGAGAAACCGTGTCTCAAAACCCCATCACCACCCCCTCCCCACAAAAAAAAAAAAGGCTTAGAGTTGCAAGTCTGATTCTCAAGGCCTTAGAGCTGCAAGCCTCTGTGTTTGAA